TTTTCTCCAGGTGGCTAAGATGGTTGGATCACACATGACTAACAGCACAGTTCAAGTCCTGCACTTGGCAGCTTAAAAAACATGATGAGCATGTTTGTATTCAAGCCCAATATTCCAAAAGGAGGAAGAAAAGAGACTGTGGTATGACCATTCCCCATGGGTTATATAAACGTTCTCACTTTTGCTTCCTCTTTCTCTAGCAAGTACATGTGCCCTCTGGCAAATTAAAAAAAAACAACAACAAAAAACAGGTTTTATTCATATTGAGTTAAATTGACTGCTCAAATGTACTTTCTAAAAAAACAGATGCATAACTGTACACAGCTGTACATTATTTGTGTGGTACAGTGTGTGTTTTTTTGTGTAAGAATGTACTTTTAATGACAAATTTCATTGCACCCCAGTGTTCCATGAATTTTAGCCCATGCAGAACTACCATGAAATTTACATACACATGGCTATAATATCTAATAGTATTAACTGTCACATTTCGAATGTCATGTTTGCAGCGTGGCTATACCCTAGGAGATGTGCTTCCGCACTCCCTAGCCCCATCTCTCTCCAGAGCACATGCATTCTTTAGCCAAAAAATAAATTAATTTAATTGAATCAAAAAAATCATTAAAACATGTATCTTGTCTTTACCACACTTAAATATTTTCTGATCAGTACTGAACTTATGATTCAGTAGCTTCTTGTACAACTATGCTTCATGAAGAGCCATACTTACTAAAAAACGAAAATCCTAAATTCTTTTGGGTTCACATTTTCTAATCTGTCATGCATCTGAATGAGTGAATACTGATTCAGCATTTGCCCAGTTCCTACAAGTTGCACTGCAAAGCTAACACGCCAGCAGGTGCATGTCTTGTGTCCTTGTCTCGCCCCCCACTGTCTGATACACATGAAAGTGGAATGCTAGCAACTGCTGTAAAGAAAGTAAATGGGGAACCAGCAGTTAGCGTAATGGCTATGTTGCTGGACTCCCACGTAGTCGACCGCGGTTCGTGTCCCGGACCCAGTGGCTTAAAACTCACGCCGGGCGCGTGTGCGTGCGTGCCCAAGATTCTGAGAGGAGAATGGAGGAGAAGGGGTTGCGGCGTGACCATCCCCCCTGGGGGGTGATTTCTCGCTTTCTGTCTCTATGTCTCTCTCTGTCTGTCTGGCGAGCGCACGCGCCCGACAGTGAAAATCTCTCCAAAAAAAAAAAAAGAAAGTAAATGAATTCTTTGTCTAACTGCAGATGTACTGAACTCCCATTTCTCAAAGCAGAAGGAAGAAATTCAAAAGGAAATAAAGGTCACAAAATATAAAACAAATGTTTAAGAAATCAGGATGTTTGAACTGTAAGATCAGGTAGCTTGCACCACAGAATTCTAGATGACGTGGTAAGAAAGGAAAACACCGAGGCTAGACGTCAATCTGGGACACACAACACATTCTGTACAAGCCTGTAGCTCCATTAAATATAGATGTGCCTTCTTGTTGGAAGTCAGAATTTGGCAATTAGTAACCTATTTCAAACCTTTCACAAATAGATGGTGAAATAGAAAAATGTCAGTACTTACATTGTAGAAAAAAATAAGTGGGGGACCAGCAGATGGCATAATGGTTACGTCACTGGACTCCCACGTAGTCGACAGCAATTTGAGTGCCAGACCCAGTGGTTTAAAACTCATGCCGGGCACGTATGCCTGCGTGCCCAAGATCTCAAGAGGAGAATGGAGAAGAGATTGTGACGTGCCCATCTGCCCCTGGGTGTGTGTGGCGGGGAGGTGGTTTCTCACTTTCTGTCTCTCTGGCTAGTGCACATACCCTATAACAAAATCTCTAGAAAAATCAAAATAACTGGGAAAATACAAAACAGTTCAGAATTTCAATTTGAAAGTGTTTTTATTGAAAATAAAAATTATATGAGTGAGAATAGCAAGCAAGAGAGAACATTTATATTCTTCCTACAAAAGACAGACTTATATCCTGTTTTATAAAAGACAGCCCCCCAAATTTAAAACAAAATGTTTGATTTACAGGATATCCACAGACATTCGAGCCAGACTACAATAAGGGTTTTAAACAGGTAACCTGTCAGGTTGATCTGAACTGTACGCAGTATGAATTATTTCAGTGGATTCAGAGGCTAGAGGCAAATCCAAAGCAGTCTATTTTTTGTGTGTCAAATGAGAATGACAAAATTGGAAGAAGTCCAACAGAAAAAATTATTAGACACCTTTATAAAACTCTGCCCAATTTAACAAAAATTTTGTCTAATGCCCAGAAAGCAAAGAAGAAAAGAACAGCTTTTAAAACTGTATTAGAGAGAAGAAAAACCACCAAGGATATGATCAAGACCAAAATTCTAGACCTTAAAAGTTCAAAGCATTACAAGGATTATCAGATTTTATATGAAGGGGATTCAGGTTGTGATTTAATATTTATAGAACAAATATGACTGCTGAAACATTTCCCAGCATAAGCCTACAAGTTCTCAAAGTGGATCCTTGCAACTCTGCATTCGTAAGATACTATCATTTATCTATAACCTGTGACCAGCCTGGTGGCTTTCCAGGGAGTTACTCGGAAATGGAAAGTAAAGTGGTTCTGAATCCAGCAACCTTAAGGAATCTGTGCTCATTTTTACAACTGAACGAAGGAAACTTTCCAGATAAGCATTTCAAAATTACAATCCAGTGTGATAGCAAGTAATATACCCCAATGCTAACCTTAAAATTTACCACACAAGAAAATAATTCAACTCTGTATTAAGACTGTGTCAATATTTATACAATCAAACAAAATACAGTATCCCTGTATGTCTGATTCTGAACTAAAGCCCCTTAGAACATTAAAGTTATTAAGAGCTCTAGGAGGTAGGAAGATGACAAAAATGACAATATTTAACTTTCATCAAACATTTGCAACTAATACAGAGTGGCTCTGTTCTTGGAATGGGGCCAATGTATTTGATTCCTTTTTTGATTAAAGAGGATTTACAATAGGAAGCAACCAGAAAACTTTAAAAATATTTTGGAAAGAAAGTATATTGAATTCTTTTAATCTTACTTGGAAAAAGACATAAATGAAGGTGCAAAGGGAGACCAAAAAAAAAACCCGGTTTAATACCACCTGTTCTCATTAAGAAAGGAATTTTTAAAAACATTTCCTTTCACCACTGTCGTTGAAAATGCCGTCAACCATTCATCCCTGAGGAAATAATTAAATACAACACTAAAGGAAAAAAATCATACAAACAAAACCATCCCTACCTATATAAACCTGAAGGGAAAATGATTCGAAGATACAGTTGTTTATGAAAGTTTATGAAAGAGGACAGACAGAGTAAGGTCTTTAAGGTTAAAAGGATACACATTTTCCGAAAGGGGGATGCAATACGGTGGAAGTAAGATAAGCATCCAATCAGTCCTTAATTAAAACAGAACCCTTGGTTCAGAACAACAATAGAATGCTCATCCCCAAACAATCTATCATCAAGCCAGGTTTGCTTAAGAAGAATTTGTAGGTACAGTTCTCACATCACTATTTATAGGTATGTTTTCCACTGGAAAGAAACTACTGTGAGGAATATTTTGCTGTTGAAAACCAAGTGTTTCTGCATCCAACCCTTAGAATATACTCCTTTATGGTGCTCCTTGACCCAATCCTGAAACCCTTCTTCCCAGAGTTCCCATATTTTCTTTCTCGGTGTGAATGAAAACACGGCACATTGATTGTAAGAATCTTACTAGATTTCCATTTGTTTTGCCTCAGCTCCTGCATTAATCCAAACAATAAGGGCCTTTAAAACATCCATAAATAACCTGCTGCCGCTGCTGGCACCTGAGAGCGGAGTGCAGCAATGTTAAGCAACAACAAATTTCATAGTTCAAGAGGCACAGTTAAGGAAAAAGGTTGCTCAGGAAATCACTCTTATTTAGCACAAAGATCCTTAAAAATTGCATGAAATCAGTCAAGTAACTATAGAAACCAATTTCTTCAGCTCCATATCACACGTCTCACACCTCAATTGTCTTTATTATCGTCTGCTGTCAGATCCTTAATCAGAAATGTGAACAGGCTTGATGATTTATTCAGGAGGGAAAAGAATCTGTAGGTCAAGTGAAAAATTTCACACACACACACACACACACATTCACACACACACACACACACACACACACACACACACACCCATACACACGCCACATCTTCAACCTTAGGTACTTTCATTTCATTCTGTTCTCAGCAGCTCTGGGGGCAACTCCAGTGAGATCCAATATTAAGGCTCAATTAAAATAAGCTCCAATTAGTGGAGCTTTTTTCTCTGGGGCTAGAAAAGTCAGGAAATGGATATTGGGAAATGTAAAAAGTCAGCTACTGAGAGGAGGCTGCAGACATAAATGAACTTATTTGTTGATTTCTACAGTTGCTATGCAGAGGCCTCTGGGAGTAAAAGCTTAACCAGTCTAAGCTATAAACTAAAACCCCTGCAGCTAAACATGAACTGTGTGAAACAAGGGCTCCATTCCAGAACAGAAAACTGCTGGGCCCAGAAAATTAAAAGCCAGAGGCGTTTTCCATTTAAAACTAAATCCCAGTACCGCCTCCCAGCCAAAGAATTATAAGCAGTATCAGATTTACAAAACGAACAATTACCCTGGAAAAATGTAGCCTATTGTACAGTCCCAGATGCTAAATCTCAAAAGTTTCTTTTCTTTCTTTCTTTTTTTTTTTTAATCCCACATTATATCCCTCCAAGTACACTGCTGTAGTTTACAAAGAGCCATTTCTAGACAGGCCTAAACCTTGAAAATAAATTTTGAAAAGAGAGCACATAACTCATTGACCTCATTTGAAGTACTGCCCTTGCCTTCAGCGGTTCCTGTCCTTCCCCAAGGCTTCTGCAAATGGTATGCAACAGCAAAATAAACCCTGACCTAATTGCCAGGAGAGAGCTGCCAACCTTCCCTCAAACACAGACAAGCATGGTAACTTGAAAGTCCTACCTCTTTGGCTTTCTGCTTTAATCTCAGCTGTTCTGGATCTTCTTTATTGGAACGACTCTATCAAAGGAAAAAGAAAATTTTAATAGAAATTACTAGCATCTAAACACCATAGTTGCTGTTAAATATTTAATAAATAACAATTTTCTCTTGTGATTGAAAATCTTAGCTGCAGGGGAAAATGCCTCAATCCAGTCTAGCTGCACTCCCACCCAAGCTCCCCGCCACCCCCTCATCATCAGGCTGGCTGCTGCAGTTCTAGCCTGGAGGAAGCTTAGACTAAAAAATGATGCTAACAATGTCAGTCAGGTCCAGTTGAGGCATGACGTTCTTGCTGGAAAGCTGAAAACTAAAAAATGGATAAAGGAAAAGAAAAGAAGAATAATTGCTGGCTCAAATGAATGAAAACAATCAACACTGGCTGATCTTCTGATGAAGGCATTTTAGAAAAACATATGGTATTTCAAGGATTATTAAAATCAAAAACTGTACTAACCTTGAACCAAATCTTTCTTGAAAAGCATAAGTTCTAAAAGCATAAGTAGGAAAAAACATATCCCTGTATTTTCATTAAAGTATCTTAACATCTCTGGGCTCTCTATAGCACTTAACAGAAGGCTGTGTGCAACTAAATGTTCAAAAGTGTTTCAAATCAATGTCGCCACCCATATGCAGGACAGGTATAAGAGAGATGTCGTCTACCTGTAATGCTATGATGGAATGAGGGTACAAACTTTATTTCTGACACTGTGAACACCTGTCCACTGTAAAACATGCTTAGAAAAAGTGTGTCTTTTTTCTCACCCTAATAAAGTAACTCAATCTTTATAAATCTGAATATTTGTTCTATAAAATGCAACCTTAGCTAAGTTCAAGAAAGCTGAAAATGTTTTATTTACTAAGTTTACCTGATACTTTTATTGATTTATCAGCCCCATTATAAAAGGAAAACATAAAAGATGGTCTACTTAGATTTAAGACTGTCTTCCAATTTAAAGCACCATAATTTAGTACCTACATTAAATTCTATGCTGAGCTTGTGAATATTTTCTTCATTTTAGTTCCAGTCTATTAAGACTACTTGATTTTTGCCCAAACTAAAACAAACTCCTTTCTTATTCCACCCATATCAGGAAGGAATAAAAGTATATATATTTATATAAAAATATGCATATATGTCCATAATTCTTTTGCCCCAGTATAAGATGGGCACATTGGTGTATCAAGTCTTTCTCAGTCATCTAATACTTATTGGTCATTCACAGTACAGACTTATTCTGTGTGTCATTGTGTAGGCCTTGAAGATACAGAAATGAAATTACTAGACAAAGTCCCTGCTCTCAAGTAACTAACATTTTAAGAACAGAAATTTTTAAAGAAATTATAGAAATTGAACAAATTTTTGATATATACAACATTTATGATGGGAAGAAAAAACAAATCATTGCTAATGCTGATAAGTACTATAAAAAAATAAGATAGAGTGGATAGAAAGGAAGAGAGAGGGGCTGGCCATGTGGCCTAGTGGTTAAGGGAGCTGGATTTCACATCATTGATCCCGTTGTTTGAGTCCTGACCCAACAGTCTGAAAAACATACCAGGCATGTGTGCATACTAGCCCCAAGTACTGATAAAATGGAGAAATCGAGAAAGGACTGGGGTGTGAACATGCCTTTATCAGGAGGTGCTTTCTTCCTTTTCGTTTTGTCTCTCTGAGTGGGGCCCACACTCCCTCTGTCAATTTAAAAAAAAAAAAAAAAAAGAGGCAAACAGAAAGAGGAATAAGGTGGGTACTTCTCTAGGATGGGAGTGAAGACATCTCTGAAAAGTGACATGTGAATGAAGAGCTGGATGACAAGAAAGTGACAGCCATGCAGAGATTTGGGAAAGAGCATTTCAAGCAGAAATAGGAATTAATAACACCTTCAAAAGGGAACAAGTTTGGGCATACTTGAGGAAGGAGAGAAGGTCCATGTGGTTGAAAAGAAGAAGAAAAGAAAGGCTAAAGGTCATATTTTACCTTGTAGGTCATGATAAAGACGTGGGTGGTCAGGACCAGCATTTAGCATAATGGCTATGTCGCTAGACTACCATGTAGTTGACCACGGTTTGAGTCCCAGACCCGGTGGCTAAAACTCACGCCGGGTGCATGTGTGTGCATGCCCAAGATCCCAAGAGGAGAATGGAGAAGGGATGGCGGTGTGGCCATCCCCCCTGGGGCGTGATTTCTCACTTTCTCTTTGTATCTGTCTGTCTGGTGAGCACACGCACCCTATAGCAAAAACCACTAAAAAAAAAGATGTGGGTGGTGGATTCTAGTTAAAAGAATGAGCTACTGGGCCAAGATGGTAACATGGGTGATTAAGGGAGCTGGATCCCACACAGCCAACTGTGTAGTTTGAATCCCAAATCCAAAGGCTTGAGAAACATACTAAGCATGCATTTGTGCATGCCCAAAATCCTTAGAGGAGAATGGAAGGGAAGGGACTGTAGCTTGGCCAACCCCCAGAGGGTGGTATCTCACTTTCTTCTCTGTCCTCAGTGAACACACTCACCCTATATTTAACAACAACAAAAAAAGAATAAGCCACTGGAGTGTTTGGCATACAGGAGTGAGATGACACTGGTGAAACTTTTGAGATGGCTGTGGCAGCTGTACAGAGGGTGCACTGGAAGGTTCCAAGGCTGAAGGCAGGAATTAGAAGACTGTTCTAAAAACAACTGTTATGAGTAAGAAACTGAGGGGGGAAAGCTGAAAGCAGTCTGAATTGGTGGTCTAGCAGAAAAGATGATGAGTGTTAGATTCAAAGTGTATTTTGTAGGTAAAGCTAGCCAGATTGGCTCATAGATTAGATTCAGGGTATGCAGTAAATAGAAGAATCAAGAAAGATGACTATGGGGGCTAACAGATGGCATAGTGGTTAAAGCACTGAACATGGCCAACTATGGTTCAAGTCCCAGACCTGGCAGCTTGAAAATCATGCCAGGTGCATGTTCGTGCATGCTCAAAATACCAGAAGGAGAGGGGATTGAGGTGTGGCCCTCTTCCCCAGAGGGTGATTTCTTACTTTCCCTCTCACTGTCTCTCTTTCTCTCTCTGGTAAGCACACACACCCTATGGCAAAAGCCTTTAAAAAAAAAAAAAGTTAAATGAAAATGGGGGGTAAGAGGTATGAGAAGAGGAGCTGAAAGGTGTACAGGTCTGACAGCTGTTCTGTAAGTATAAAATTATTTCAAAGTAAACCTGCTTGTAAAAAGAACAAAACCAATTGATATGTGCTTAGAAAGAAATACTCTAAGAGGGGAGGCTGCTAAGAATATTATATATTAAAAATAAGATGCTTAAAACAAAAATTAAGGCCCTAAGGCTAGAGCAGGAAGATCACAACGTAGTGGGATTCTGACAAAAAATAAATAAAAATAATTAATTAATTAATTTAAAGCTCTAGTGCTCAACATTTAAGACTTCTGACAGTGGCCCTAAGCCTACGAAGTGTGAAGCTATGAAACACAAACTGTAGTGAAGCTACCTCTCACACCATCTGGCACTTAGAGTCCAGGACCATGTTTAAATATAGAGGAAAGGATAATAAATAGCCTCACCTGTTCTCTTTCTCTAACTCATTTCCTACCTCTTCAATGTTTTGTTCCATCTAATCCAAATTACTCTTAATGTTACCCATAACCTTACTGCCTACTTTCCAAATTTTTATTTCTCAAATTATATCCCTAAAAAGACCCTGAAATGTTTATAAAATGTTTTAACCTAGAGGAGTCGAGGGTAAATATGATGCTGGGCACAGAAAATGAGAGTGAGAAAACAAAAGATTATGACTCATTAAACTAAATTAACTGAAAGCCACTCTACCACACCAGCCTGGCTGAGAGACATTCTATTAGTAATTTCATTTTAAGAAATCCTCCAGAGAAATCTAAAGGCCTAATAAAACCAAGACAGTCAAGCAATGATACATCCAACTCTGGCCTCACCGCCAGACCACGTCCACTCGTAAATCACACAGGCTCTTACCTTAGCTGCCTTAAGTAACATTTCTCGCTCTTCCAAATCCTTTCTCTGTTTCTCCAATTGATCCAGCTTTTCAAGAAATTTGAGCTGTGACCTGGTATCGTTAGACAGGATGTAATTTTCACTTGCCTGGGAAAAAAATTTTAAAAAGGAAGCCTTATGATGATCCTAGACAAACCTTTTACATTAAATGTTATTATAAATCATCTGAAGACAATGACACTAACATATATAGGGAGCTACATGGTCAGAAGGTAGTATTTTCCTTTCTGTTAAAAAAAACCTGAACAAAAAGGGGAACTTTGAATCTTTAAAATCTGAAAAGTGAGTAAGTATTTACATTTCAAAGAGCCTTCCTAGTAAACCTCATTCAAGGGAGGGGAAAAGAAATTAACCTAAGTAGATCCTAAGAATATAACATAGAAAGCAAGAGATGATACTATTTACCTAAACTAAATTTTCAAAAATTAGTTTGTATCTCAGTAGACCTTAATATGAATCATTAAATCCTAGACCTATCCTATGAAAAATAAAAAGCAAGAAATAATCACATCACTAAAAAAATATACCCGAAGGTGAAAGTTATCACCCTGGCTGGTTTGGATTGGTTTAAACTGGACAAATGAATATATCTTCTATCAAAATACAATCTAAGATGGTAAACTTAAAATCTTGAATTCCCTGCTTTGAGGATTCCCTTAAGGTGTAAATTTGGATAGAAACTATTATCAAAGAAATTATGTGTACAATTTATAAATGAGAACTGTAACAGAAAAGTGTAATTATTTGTCTTAATGGTTCTATAAAATGATAAAATTCGAATTGTGCATTTGTTCCGATATTCTAGAGTATCAAACAGTGATTTCTAATTTATATTTTCTTCACCTAATATGGCCACCCCTCTCTGCTCTACAATACACATGTGAGTGTGTCTATGTGGAGGGGAGGAGATGAGGAGGATCTTTCCAATCAGTAGCTAAGACAACCTCCCATCTACTCATCTCAGTAATTCATATATTCAAGGGAGACTGTGTAGTAGAAAAGCCAAGTGTTTTAAAACATTTGATTCAACAGTCGGTGCCTGGCCTGGAAGGGTCTAGCGCCACTCCTATCTCTGTTTTATCTCCATGCTTATGGCTAATTCAATTAATTGGAACTGAGAGACTTTATATGCTCAAGATTCTTTTTAAATTAAATTTTTATTGTTGGTATTTAACTAGATCAAAAGAGTATTACACAGTTTAAGGAACAAGGATATATTTGTGCTACTTATTTTACTTCATATTTAATACAAAAAGAATTCTTGAATGTTTTTAAAAAGTTAAGTAATATAAGATAGAATATGGAATACATTATAAGCCAACCATAGAGGTTAAACATAATAAACAATCATTTCTTAAATACTTTATCTTTACCATTTTTGAGTCCAGACATGCTGAATATAGTTCACTGACAATTTAATTTAAAAGAGACAACAAACACTAAATTAAAGAGAGGCTTCCAAATGTGAACTCAATCATATTCCCATTCTAAGATTCCACTCTCTAACTCAACTTGGGTATAGCCTCTAACACATCCTTCCTTCTCTCATCCAGATGCTTCTAAACAAATGAATCCCATCCTTTCTCCTACTGAGTCTCCAAGCTTTTTTAAACAGTAACCCCAATCTTATCACATTCTTTCCTATCCCTTCACCTGGCCTGACTAACTGAAATCTTTAGGCAGCAATAGACTAGGGTTTTACTATGTTAGGGCCACTACATTAGTAAATAGTTTAATCAAAGAAAAATATAATGACTCGGACAAAATGATATCAACACCATCAACTGAAGCCACCTACAAAATGCTGAAGCTTCACAAGCACAGGCATGCAGAAGATGGTAATATGTGAAAGAGCGTCAAATGCTCATGAAAATGCCTATCGTGAAAAAACTAAGCATGACTTAGAAACATTTGTTGCCCCAAGATACACGTATACTTTAATTCTGTTTTCCCATGAAATTTTTGAAGTCCCCTCATATTTTCAGTGAGAAAATCAGCAGTACCAGGATCAAAATCTCTGGAGCACATTTCACATCTAATTCTTTACTTAAACCTGTTTTTAACCTATGATTAATGAGAGAATTATATCAAAGCAGATGAAAGACGATCAAAATTGCAGGTCCAGAATGCAGAGAAATAGTAATATTCTGCTTTTAGTAATAGGAGTTCGCTTTTTATTAATATTCATGGAACAGAACTTCTTGGGCCAGCTGTTGGCACAGTGGTTATGGTGGCTGGATTCCACAGGGTAGACTGCACGATTTGAGTCCTTGATCCAGTGTTTAGAAAACATGCTAGACATGAGGGTGCACACACATGCCCAAAATCCAAGAGAATGGAGAAGATGGGATAACCATGGCATTGTCATCTCTCCTGGGGAGTACTTTCTCACTTTCTTCCTCTCTCTTTCTCTCTCTGGCGAACACATGTCCTATAGCAAATAAAAAAAATTTTTCCTACCTTGTAGAGATAGAAATAATCCTATGAAGATGAACTAAAACATGAGGACAGAGATAAATCTGTGACATCGAAATTACTAACAAAGTTTACAAGTCATCTAGTCATTTTGAACTGGCCCCATAGCCTAGTGGTTAAGGGGGCTAGATCTCACATGGCCAACTGCAGTTTGAATCCTAGCCCTGGTGTCTTAAAAAACATGCTGGCTGTGTGTGCCCCAAATCCTGACAGGTTGGAGAACTGGAGAGAAAGGATTGTGACATGCCCTATTGGGGAGCTTCTCCCTCTTTCTTTATCTGTCTCTCTGGTGAGCACAAGTGCCCTCTGGTCATTAGAAAACAGAAGTCTTCTGAATTAGATCCAAATGCAACTAAATGATTATAATTGGTTTGTCAGAAAAGTCATGACGCATTTTTGCGTAGAAAAATAAAGAAAAATATGTCATGACTTTTCTGACAAGCCAATATTCCTGTTCAAGGAAGAATAATAATCCTTTTTACCTTTCTACATATGCAAACTAATAAAGTAGAATTAGCTGTAGGAAGAAATGAATGTGGGGAAAGCTGGGCAGGCGAAAAATAAATCAATATACAGCATACATGTACAAGACAGAAGGTTAAAGAAGTGTTAGCTTTTAGCTAAGTTTTCCAGGTGCTGTAGATATTATCCATTTTGCCTAGGGAACTAAAAGATATGTTGTTGATATTCAAGAGAATTCCATCTGAAAGATGTATGTAACAGAGCTTTAAATGGCACTCAGTAAACAGCGCTTAGAAACATTCTGTTCCATACTAATTTGTACTTACTATACTTTGTATATAAACTGCCCACTATAAAGATATTAACTCATGTATCTCTGAAATAACATTGTGACTGAACCAAGAATAGGAAGAATTCAGGTATGAAAAATTATAAGACACTGTCTTTTTTAAAGTTTATTTCCTAAACAAGTGAGGGACAAGTACTCCCAATAGGGTCTTCATACTGCAATCCTGTCCCCAACCTTGCAGCCAGCCAGGATCACGGGCACACCCAGTATGTTAAGACAGATCTGTGCTGCAAACCTGATCACTTCCCATATAGCTTTGGCAACACAATGCAGTGCCTCTAACACCTGTGTCCCCAAGGCTGGGCTGCCAATTTAACAAGTTACAGTAAAACGTCAAAAACTGTAATGTCCCTACAACACAAAATTGAAGGCATGATGTCATCAATTCAAACTAAACTGTTAAAAGATTTAGGAGGTTAAGTGTAATCCCCACATGACTACTAAGAGGAAAGCTAAAATGTATACATAAAAGTAAGTGAGAAGGTTATCAAAATGACACAAGACCAAAAACCAATTAAATACCAAAAAAGTAGGAAAAGAAGAAATAGAAACAAGAACAACAGCAAGAAAAACTATCAGGGATAAAAAAATAGCAACACAGCAAAGTTAAGTCCTTTCTTATCAGTAATTCCTTTAAATATAAATGGATTAAACTCTCCAATCAAAAAGTAGAGACTGGCAGAAAAGTCAAAATAATGACCCAATAGAGAGTATCTATAAGAGATTCAATCTAGATGAAAACACAAGTACAGACTCAAAGAGAAAGGAGGAAGAAAGTATTCCATGCAAATAATTAAAAGAAAGCACAGCTAGTTATACTAGTATTAGAATAGATAAGCCTTTAAGTCAAGAGCTGTTAAAATAGACAAAGAACGATGTGATATATTGGTTAAGACGGTTAATTTATCAAGAAGATATACTAAGAACAGATATATACCAAACAAGAATTCTCAAATACAAGGAACACTGACAGACTTTTATAATAATTTAAAAATATAGTTCTACAACAGTTGAACACTAACCTACCCAATGATGGACGAAATATTTAGACAGCTGTTCAATAAGAAATAAGAGGACTTAACACTATAAACCACCTATATCTAAAAAATCTAAGAATACAACAACTGACAGCAGAATACACCTTTGATCCAAGTGTACATAGAATATTCTTCAGTACAGGTCACAAAACTAGTTTCAATAAATATAAAATAACTGAAATTACACAGTGTCTTATCTAACCACAACATAATGAAAACAGAAATCAATAACAGAAGGAAAATTCACAAATATGTGAAATTTAAACAATATACTCTTAACCAATGGATCAAAGAAATATCAAAGAAAATTATAAAATATCTAGGGACAAATGAAAGGAGAAGCACAACAATATAGCAAAAAGTATAGAATGCAGTGAAAGCAATGCTCAGAAGACAATGTATAGTCACAAATGCCTACATGAGAAAAGAAAGATCTCAAATCAACAACTTAACTTCTCCATCTATGGAATTAAAAAAAGAAAAGAAACTGAATCCAAAGCTAGTGAAAAGAAGGAAATAACAAAGACAAGAATGGAGATAAATGAAGAAAAGAAAACCAGTAAAGAAAATTAATGAAACTAAAAGTTGGTAGTCTGAAAGAACAAAACTGGCAAATCATTAGCTAAACAGACAAGAAAAAAAAGCAATGACAAAAATAACTAAAATAAAAAATGAAAGTGGGGTCATTACTACTGACCTCACAGAAATAAAAAAAAGTTACAAAAAGGACTTCAAAAAGTTTGTAAAAAATGGAATTAAAGTGCAAGCTTATTTTGGTATAAAAATTTTGAAATCTATTCAAAGTCTTTTCATGATATGTATTTGCCATAAATATTTTAAAGACGTCTATAGAAGAGAATACTATGAATAGTTACATGCCAACAAATTAGATAACCTAAAATAAATGGATAAATTCCTAGAAATTCAAAATGAGATACTAAAATTTTGTTTTTCTGCAGATTTTCTGTTGATGGCATATTTTTAAGTTTGTTCAGCAAAGTGTCACAAAAATTGATGTAAGGAAAGACCTCAACCAACTATATGTAGTTCTTCCAAAGTTCTAAGTGAAATAGGAAAGAAAATAGAATGGTTTCTCTAAGCCAACCAATGGTGTGGTAGTAGATAGTTCTCTATTCCTTTTATAACCTACAGCTAGGGTACCAGACCATTCCTGCAAACTCAAAGCCTCATGATGTTACCTACGTACCTTCTCATTCAAAATCTAGTATGAAAGTCTCTTGATATAGAGGGAAGGGGGTTATCTTGGTTTTTTTCCAACCAGGTTATCTTTTATTTTGATTCCTAAACACCCAATATATTCATCCTCTTCAAAAACTATGACTGAAATAACTAGTTTCATCTTGATAACTGCAAGTCTTTTGGATCATACTACCACTAGGGACAAGACAGGCTATTCTTGCATTTAGTTTTTTTTTTTTTTTTCCTAAAGCAGTCAATAACAGTAACTAGTATTAGCATTCAATACAACCATTTAATTTACTGAAAGGAACAGAAACAGATCACTGAAGAGAATACAAATAGCCAATACTCCATTCTAACATAACCCCCTTCCCAATTGAAAGCTTAAGAAGGAGAAGCCTCAGGCAGAACAGATGCATATTTCAATCTATACTAACATAGAAGCTTTGGATACCATTTTAATCTCTATTTTATTTGTCACATAAACATCTACATAAGGCACATCAGGGATGAAACTTCTATTTTCTACTAATATAAAATATGTCTCAATCATCCCTTTACAAATACATTAAAATAAGAATCCATGCCCCCCAAAAAACTACCTTTCACACGAAAAGGAGAGAGATAAGCGTCTGTACTTCTTTAATGAGTTCCTTTACCTTGTAAGTAGTCATTCGATGCTGAGCGATTGTAGTCAGTTTTTCTAGAAGGCCTCGTAATCGCTCCTGCGTTGCATGAGAGATCAAGTTCACAGCATCAGAGTTAAGTTCCGTAATGTCATGCTTTTTACCTGTGGAAGCAGAGAAAATCCATTACATGTTTTAGTAGTTGCTGATAATTGAAATAATTAGCACAGCAGGTATTCTGTTCCCCCTGGAAGTCATACCCATTATGAATAAAGGTTTGGAGATTATGATTTTCCTGGTAAAGTCACAACTTCAAAGATCTTAGACATTACATTAATAAAACCTAGCCTGAAGCCTCAGAAAATATAGACATTGTTTCACTTAGCCTCTAGAATCATTCTCCTTGCAAGGTCATTTATAGGACAAAGTTAATAAGAACACAAATCAAATGCAGTGTTCAGGGAGGAAAATGGTAACTGCAGAAATTAGTGCCGTATTCTGTTAATTTTAGTAATTAAAAAAATAGAAAATTGCATTTCGCCCTGTTTGACACTGTTAACAATTTATGCCATTTATTTCAATGAATTCAGATTATGAGTCTCTGTTAATGCCTGTCTACAAGACATATCTATATCCAATTTTATTCGTCGCCAATCGTGCTTTCATACACTTACTCATGTTCTGATAAATTGACCTGGTAATCAATTTACAAACTGGAGGGAGTTCAAAGACTCATCCTGTCATCCACTCGTTTGGATAACTTCTCTCTTACTAGAGAACCTAAATAAACCAAACTTCTTCTTTCTGCTAACTAGGAAGATAATTTCAGGGGGAAAAAACTGGATCACAGACCCAATGACAGAAGCTCATTTATAAATAAATAAGCCTTATCAGTATTTAAATGCTATTTCTCAGGCACAGTGAAACAACCTGTACCAGCAGAGGCCCAAATTTAAAGACACAGGCAATCAGTCTGATTTAAATGGGCTTTTTTTAGAAGCACACTGTGATTATTTCTCACATACTCATATACATAGAAACCTTAAAAATAGTTTGGTTTTACAATCTAAATTATCTGAAATATGTTCTTAGACTCTAATCAAAAGGTGAGCAATGAGCCAGTAAGTAGCATGTGTTTAAGGTGCTGTACCCCACATGGCCGACTACATGGTTCAAGTCCCAGACCTGGCAGCTCGATAAACACACCCAGCATGTATGCATGCATGCCCATGGTCCCAAGAGGAGAATGGAGAAAAGGGGACCGCAGTGTGGTACCCTTGACATTACGATATAACAAACATTATACTTTAATTTAGAACGTGGTTAGAACGTGGTTAGAATAAACCAAATAGGAAGAAGTTATGAAATTATCCAACCTCTCCTAAATTAAGTCTACAAAACGTAATTCATTACTTTGTAGTTAGACTGCTCATCTCTAATTTCAGATTCAAGAAGGAAAACAACACTACAAAGCCAAATCTAATTTATTAAACCCTCAGACTAAACAAATGGTAGGCGCTTCTACACAAGAAACAGTGTAATTTCAAAACAATCTACTGACTCAAATTATAACTAAACATAGGGGAGACAGGGAATGACATTCTACTTTATACGTAAGTTGAAGAAAATGAGCATTAAAAATATTTAATGAAAATAATTTCCTATGTGTTTATAAGACAAAAGCAATATATCCAATGTAAAAAATATATAAACTTTAAAAATACTAGAAATAAACAAGTGCTGAGGTTAACAAATCCAGGGTTTAGGAAACAACTAAATGTTCTAATACCTTCATTAAATTGGTGATAAACTGTATTTTAGTTACAAGATTAAATACTGTATAAAAATTCCCACTCTGAAATAAAAGGCCCCTTTACACAAAGACAATGTAACTGCTTAAACAGACTTAGACGGTTGATATGTGACTTTACAGAATGTGCAATTTTATTTAGGTAATTAATAGATGGAAGTATATTGGCATTTAATTTCCTAACATTATTCAAGTAGAAAAATACTTTTTCAAAAAAAATTTCTCTAGATAAATTTATAAGTTCTATTTTTAAGGGATGGCCTTGGTTCTGACCTATTCTGTAAAGATGGAATTCTATTTTAAATAGAAACTATTCCAAGAAATACACAACTTTTCATTCACTATAATCTTACTTTAAAAAATAAAGTTTAGATAACTTAGAGGTAAGGATTTTTGTACTGTTCTAGATTACATGATAAGTTTGTGCTTTCACAATTAAGAACTGAAATGGAGGGGCCAGACAGTGGCACATAGGTAAAATGAGACACTCTGCAAGGCTGTGGCTGCTAAGGTCGGAGGTGGATCGTGGTATTGAGAACTGGGTGCTGTTTCTTTGTCTCTGTCCTGCATGGTAGAAATAAAACTTTTAAAAAAATAATAAAGAAAGAAAGAGAACTGAAAATGCAAATAGTTATCTTCTTGTTCAAAATTAGAGGTTGCCAAACTATAGCCATCAAGCCAAAACTGATCTCTCTTCATACATAAAGTTTATGGGAGGCTGGCCCCATGGCCTGGTAGGTAAGGAACCTAGATCCCACATGACTGACTATGCAGTTTGAATTCCAGACCCAGCAGCTTGAAAAACACAGGAACATGTATGTGCATGCCCAATATCTTGACAGGGTAGAGAAACAGAAGAAATGGGTTGTGGCATGACCATGCCCCAATGGGGGAAAGAGGAAGGGTGTGATACTTTCTCCCTCTCCCTTTCTATCTTTCTCTCTGGGCAAGCTCGTGTGCCCTCTGGCAAATGAAAAAACAGCAGTTTTTGGAAACACAGTTGCAATAGACTGAATGTTTGTGTCCTATCAAAATTCACTCAAAATTCACATTGAAACCCTAATCCTAATATAATGACTTCTGAAGTGGGGATGTGGAAAAATAATTAGGTCATAAAGAGCCTAATATAAAAGGAGGCCAGAGAGCTAGCTCACTCTCTTTCTGCCATGTGAAAACACACCAGAAAGACAACTGTCTAAAAACCAAGAGGAGGGCCCTCCTCAAGAACCTGACCCTGCTGGCACCATGATCTCAGATGTCCAACTTCCAGAACTGAGAAATAACTGTCATTTAAGTCATGCAGTTCACGGTATTCTGTTGTAGCAGATCAAGCTAAGACAATAGTCTTGCCCATTTGTTTACAAATGGACTATGGCTGCTTGGGCACTGTGACAGGGACCATATGACCGACAAAGTGGCAAATACTATCTGGCCTTTGTGGAAAAAGCTGTTGATCTATATCCTAAATATTCAAAAGCGTTCTTTCAATGCTAAATATTTCCTATCATATAATCAAAGTTCAGTCGAATTAAAAACAAAATTTGGAAAGGGAATTGATAAAACTAAGAATCTACTTATATTCTACCAAAGAGTAGGTAATAATATGGTATTAAGTAGTTAAAATATCAATAAACATCCCAAGTCATCACAGGAAAGTATAGTACTTAGTTAGCTTTGCTCCAAAATTAAGAAACTGGTTCCTATATAGAACAAAATACATTTGCGAAGAATAAAAGGTAGGAAGAAAGAAGGTGGGGAGGCAAAACATAAGCAAAGAAAAAAAAGGAAGGGAGTAAAGGAGGGAGGGAGGGAGGGAGAGAGAAAAGAAAGGTAGACGGCAGGCAAAACACAAGCATTTTTTATTAGAATTAAAGACATGGTCTCGCTGGGTCACAGTCCACCTGCCTGAGCTTGCCTGCCAGGAACACAAGCATGAGCCACCAAGCCCACCTCTTGCAGATAATCTCACTATATTCCCCAAGCCAGCCTCAAGTTCATGATCCTCCCACCTTAGCCTCTAGAGTAGCTAAGATTACAGATACGCTTGACTGTGCCTGGCCTTCAGGTTGAACCAGGAACTGAATCCAGGCCTCCCATGTGGTCCCAGTCTGTGGAGTTTCTCAGCAGTGTTCAGCACCACGGCCGGCCCATTTTATAATCAGCTCTTCTAAATTCCTATCTTTTGGACTACTTGTAAATTCTAGTTTTTCATTACAAAAGAGACATATTCTCAACTTAAATTAGAAATTAAAAAGTGGCTATTTGTGTATAGTACTTGGAATATTTATTAATTATAAAGTAGACTTGCAGTAGAAAATAGTATTATTTGTAGTCCTTAAATACACCATCCAAATCAGAAACTTTCACCTTTTTTTTTATATTAAGCCTTCAATATAAAACCAAGTACTTATTCAAACATACTGAAAGCTCATGAGCACTGGCATATAAAACTTCCTGGTTTCTGGCAAGTCCCAGAGTCAGGACATAAGAAAGGTTATATGTTCTTTTCCATTTTCTTTCACACACTGTAGCCCCCTAACTAATCTCAGACCTACACAGAGAATCTTCATATTCTAATTCAGTTCTTTAAAGAGCAGATTTCTATTTCGGGGATAAGGCAAAGGAAAGGGGACTTACTCTTACTGGCTTGTCTTTATTTTATAAACATAAACATGTAACAAGGAAGGGAAAGGACAGGAAAAAAAAAGTACATACTTATATATAAAATTAGGTGCATCTATTCTCCCATTTTAAAATATGAATAAAATATTAGCTTCTATTGTCAAAATTAGAAGCCATAAGTTATATAATGTAAGTTAATCATTTTGAAATAGAATACTTGCTTCAATACCACCTATGAAATCTTGCTCATTCCTAGAGCCTTATTTAAACCTCAGAGTTCCAGGACAACATAGTGTTTTTTGATAACATTTTTCCCTCAAAAAGACATTCCTACTAGGTTAATAATCTTAACTCTGTACTTACCAATATCTAAAATTCTCTTTTGTAAAGCTGCAATGAAAAGAAATGGTTCATCTTTACATGACTGAATGAGTGTGCCGACCAATTCAGAATTCGTTGCCAAGATGCAGGCATTCTCTTCGTTGAGGTTGACCCCTGCCATGGAAGTCACATCGTTGATGTCATCTTCATCTCTAATAGAAAAAAAAAGGTAGTTTTTTGGTGGAGTGTGAGTTAGTGTAGAGTAAATATGTGATTTCAGAGAAGAAAAGAATTCCAGATCTCTACTTGTAACTAATGACTTTACTTAATTCATCCAGTTAAAAGGAGAACTGAAGAATGACAATCTTGCTTTTTTCTCTCTGTACTGCTTGTGGGCCTGCAGGTTAGCCGCAGCCGCAGGACTCTATTCCGCAGGATGGGATTTGTTACAATTTTCAAGAATAAGGCCTACTTTAAGAAATACCAAGTGAAATTTAGAAGACAAGAGGGTAAAACTGATTACTATGCTTGGCAACACTTTGTGATCCAAATAAAAATAAGTACCACACACCCAAATACAGGATGATAGTTTGTGTAACTAACAGAGATATCATTTGTCAGACTGCTCATGCCCATATAGAAGGGGATATGATAATTTGTGCAGCTTATGCAGACAAACTACCAAAATACGGTGTGAAGGTTGGCCTGACAAATTATGCTGCAGCATATTGTACTGGCCTACTGCTGGCCTGCGGGTTTCTCAATAGGCTTGGCATGGACAAGATCTCTGAAAGTCAAGTGGAAGTGACCAGAGATAAGGACAATGCAGAAAGCATTGACGGTCAGCCTGGTGCCTTCACCTGCTATTTGGATGCAGGTCTTGCCAGAACTACCAGCTAAAAAGTTTTTAGGGCCCTAAAGGGAATGGCAGATGGAGGCTTATCTATCCCTCACAGTACCAAGCGATTCCCTGGTTATGATTCTGAAAGAAAGGGATTTAATGCACAAGTTCATCAGAAGCACATCATGGGCCAGAACGTTGCAGACTACATACATGCATTACCTAATGGAAAAAGATGAAGATGTCTACAAGAAACAGTTCTCTCAGTACATAAAGAACAGTGTAACTCCAGACATGACGGAGGAGATGTATAAGAAAGCTCACATTGATATATGAGAGAACTCAGTCTATGAAAAGAAACCCAAGAAAGAAGTTAAAAAGAAGAGGTGGAATCGTCCTAAGATGTCCCTTGCTCAGAAGAAAGATCAGGTAGCCCAGAAGATGGCAAGCTTCCTCAGAGCTCAGGAGCGGGCTGCTGAGAGCTAGACCAAATAATTTTCTATGACTTTACTCCAGATAAAGACAATAAACTTAACAACAAAGCAGAAAAAAAAGACCATCTTTCCTACTAGTGTACATTTAATATCAGAAAGTGAATGAGAAGCAACTTTGTCTCCCTGAGCCCATTTCTCGAACCTTTTTCAGTTTGGTAAATGAGCCACACCAGGAAGGATCTAGAATTATACTAAGTTACCCACAAATCCTTTTCAATAAAAGACAAAAGAAATGGTAACAGACATCTTTTCTTTTTCATCCAAGGTGGTTAAAAGCCCTTCCTATTTCTCTAGCTCACTCTACTGACAGGCAGCAGAAATCCTCAGTCCTAGAAGGTCTGTACCCACATAAAGACCAGTGAGAAGAAGCTTACTCAACTAACTACTCTAAAATCAAAACTAGGTTTTTTTTTTTTCCCTGCTTCAGACTTTCAGTGTGCTCCCTCTGTACTGGCAAATTTATTAACATCCCCAAGCAATTGGCTATGAAAAGTCTATATATAAAATATGAAACTACACACACGTATACAAACACACGTGCATAAAAAACATGCACATAAAATATATTTAAGGCTCAACTATTGTGGTGTGTGCTAGTAAGTCACTGCTGTCTGTAGGTTGAAGCCACCAGAGAAGCCTGAGTTAGACTCCTGGCCCACACTAAAAGCCAAGCACAGTAGCACACATCTGTAGTCACAACTACTTTGGAGGCTGAGGCAGAAAGAACATGACTTTGAGGCCAGCCTGGGCAATACAGAAAGACCCTGTCTCTAAAACTTAAAAAAAAAAAAAAAAAAGAAGAAGAAGAAGAAAAATAGCTTGTGCTCTCTGCTTTACACCAGCAAAATTAAGGTTATTTTTATCTAACAGAATTGCTACATGGCTACAGTACTAAAATGGTACATACTTAAGGATAAAGAGAAGGAAAAGAAATACTAAAATTCTCACTCAGCATCCTTTTCAACATATGCAATAATAAACACATTACTGGTCATAACTCATATATCAATTGTATAATACAATTTACATAAAGCATGATTATATAAAAAAGATGTTGTTTCTTTTTATTGCATGGACCAAATGGTGCATCATGTGGTCTCATGTCAATTGATTTAAATTACAAACCTCACTATGGAATGCATTTGTGTGCAGAAAAGAGAAATAAACTGTCATTGTCAAACTCTCATGAACCGAAGGCTGCTGGTGTTCAACTTTAAAAAGCAGAAAGTTAGGGCAAGGAGAAGAAGAGCCCATGCATGGACATACATGAGAGACGCAAGTTAAATGAAAGAAAAGTGAGGAGAAAACTATTTTTCTCTCTCTGTCTCTCTCGGGCAGGTGCATGCAACCTATGGCAAAAACCTTAAACATACATGCATACATACATACATATATATATGTGAATAAGAAATGTTAAGGTCATGTTCTTCCCTTGGATTACTAATCCTTGACGAATACAAGCTTGTCTTCAGTACCCTTTTTACATCTCTCACAGGCAGGGCCTCTTCCCCACAGCATACTACACCCTGTAAGCTTACACTACACCTTGTTTATTCAACCTTCTATACCTCTTTTGAAGTTAATTTTCTCGTGGGAAATTGCCTCTTCTTCCTAACTCAAATGTAGCATAGCAGTGTTATTAGGACTGCCGAGTGAGTCTGTTTACAGTCCAGGTCCCCCAGTCAAATACACTCACAGTCCTCATTTAGTAGGTCTATAATGGATACCAGAAATCTGGAATTATGATGATCATGATACTGTCAATGGATCACACTTGGAAAAATATTGGGCTTATAAAAGTTAAGAGTATTAACTTTAGAGTTTGAGTCTAAACTTTTGGGTCGGCAATGTAACCTACTGGTTAAGGGAGCCAAATTCCAAATGAGCAACCATGGTTCAAGTCCTGGCTCCAGTGGTTTGAGAAACATGCCAAGTGTGTACATGTGCACCAAATCCCAAGAGGATGAAGAAACAAAGGAAAGAGACTGTGGCAAGACCATGCCTTATGGGAGTTCTCTCCCTCCTTCCCTCCCCCCCTCCCTCCCTCCTTCCCCACCCCCTTTCTCTGCAAAGCACACATGCACTCTGGCAATTAAAAAACATTAACTATTAAAAAAAAAAAAAAAGCCCAAGGTTTCAGCTCCTATTCTCGTATTTATTAATAGGATGACCATGGACAAGTTTCCTCCCATCTATATTCTTCAATATCCATATCTGTAAAATAGGAGTGAAACTTTATCTTTTATTTTTGAATGAAATTATATTAGCAACTAAAACTGTGGGGTCACACTGGTATGTATAAAAATGAACTTTGTGAGGCTGACCCACATAGGAGGGGGTCCAGGTTTACGTCAAGAGACCTCCTTGAGTATACCAGGCACATGTGTGCCCATGATCCAGGGCTAGTTGAAACTGGGGTGGATCATGACAGTATGACCACCCTTTTTTTAATTAATTAGTTAATTAATTTATTTTACAGAGGGAGATTGTTGCTATAGGGTGTGTACACTTACCAGAGAGACAGAGACAGACAGAGAAACAGTGAGAAATCACCCCCCAAAGGGGATGACCATGACGCATTCTCCTCTTGGGATCTTGGGCAGGCATGCATGCACGCACGCACACACACATGCCCAGCACATGCCAGAGTTTTAAGTCGCCAGGTCCTAGACTCAAACCATGGTCGACTACGTAGGAGCCCAGTGATGTAAGCATTACATCATCTGCTGGTCCCAGAAATAAACTTTTTTTAAAAAGTATTAGAGGGGCCAACAAGTGGTATGGATGTGAAGGCAGCTGGACCCCACATAGCCAACTGCGGTTCCAGTTCCAGACCAAGCAGCTTAAAAATCATGCGCCTGTTGCATATGAATCCTTGCCCAAAATCCCAAGAGAGTGGAGGAGAAACTGCAGTGTGGTCATCTCCCCTAGGGGTGATTTCTCTCTCTCTCTCTCCGGCAAGTGCACTTGCCGTATAGCAGGAAAAAAGGTGTATTAGAAACAAATAATGAGTATAATTTATTCACTGAAAAAAAAATCCATTATGTTAACATGAAAACATTTTTATAAAAACAAAATCAAAATTTACAAATTGGTAAGGGGGGGCTGGCAAGTGGCATGGTGGTTAAAGGTGCTGGACTCCCACATAACTGACTGTGGTTCAAGTCCTGGATCTGGCAGCTTGCTTTCTCACTTTCCCTCTCTCCCTCCCTCTCTCTCTCTCTTTCTTTCTCTCACTCTCATTCTGCCCTTCTCTGGTCAAATTAAAATTAATTAATTAATTAATTAAGAGTTGCGCTGTCTTCTATTTTTACTAGTCTAATCTTTAAATCCATTGCTCCTTCTGCATTTTGAATGGATCTTTTTTACCCATACATGGTTTTGCAGCATCATGCACTGGTGATTTGGAAAATATTCATTTACTGAGCTATGCAGGACTTCCAAATTTAGCCTCATGATTCATCATCCCAAAGTCACATGTTAGTAGCTCCACCAATCAGTACACAAAATCTAAATATTGGCGAGCTGTCAAACTCACAGTAGTGGATGTAGGCTTTGCAAAAATTTCAATTTTTGTTTGAAAGCTCAATTTTCATTACTGACAAAAAATACTTTCAATTTGTTTTCCCTAAGTGACAAGCTCACTTCATTTCCATGAAAACGTCTGTCAAATACTCAAACCTAAATAACTATAGTTTGTCAGCTAGTGTGTCAAGTAAAAATGGAGTTCCATGAAGAAAGTGGTCAGTTCAGCTCCACACAATCACCAGCACTGGCACCTGTCACGGGATGACCAAGGCACGAGGGCATGCAGCAGAAGGGTCCATGCACACCTCCCACTGTGTCACACAACATCTAACAAGCTGTGTACTCAAGG